CCTGGTTGTCTTTACTATTCCAATCCGACATACATGTCCATTCCGAATGGACATAAATTCCAAACCGACATACAACATAATTTCTGCGATGGAGGTAATTTTACTATAAATCGGTCGGTTCCGTAAAAAGGTGTAACTTTAACCCATTTGTGCTTATAGAGAGGTACGACTGTACAAGGTTAGCTGTTTTACCAGTGGTTTACTTAGCCACACAAAAAGTTCACTGTAATGTTAAGTAGGTTAGTGTTTACTTGATCTGTCTAGTTGACAAATCCGGACGCAAATAAATTGTTCGGTCCGAGATAGCGTAATAATATAGTCGCATGTGTTTTTTCTAATAATTACAATTCCAACAATTTTATCTGGAACACTTTTACTAACTTTTGTTCTTTATTGATACACTGTACAGTAATGAAATTTTTAACAATTGCGTTTTTTATTATAAGCGTGCATTCTTTTTTCGAGTTGTCGAAATAATAATAATTACCAATTACGAAATTGTTATAAATACCTCGTTTTTTATCTAATGTTTCGAAACAATGAATCTACCTATATTTTTGATATTCGGAAATGTACAAAATATGTCTGATCTTTAATGAAGATCAAATCCTTATCTTTCGTTTTACTCCCTCTGTCTTAGTCTCTTTATCTTTCACCATACTCTCCTTATCTTTTGCCTTACTTCCTTTATCTTTCCTAACGCAATCTTTTGTTAGAACTTTTACCTGTGAAGGAACAATTGGTCAGAAACCCAATAACAATCATACGTCCGCTATGTGTCTTTAATGATGGGTTGATAAATGACGGGAAATTCTCTGATATCAGGTGATCGCCCGTTGAGCATGAGAAACTGCTTTTCCTAATACACAATATTCAAGTAGTAGGTATGTTTTGAACACGTGATCAAATTTCTCTCATACGCTCAAGCGACTCGTTTTAACTAATACATATCTGGGTGAAATAAATGTACTATATTAAGATTTACGTTTAAGATTGGTACGTCGAACAATCTAACCGCAAATTAGCTTTTAGGACAAAAATTAGCATATATATTGTGTATGTATTTTATTAGTTGTTATGTTGAGGTACATTCATGCATGCTACAGCAAAACTGATCTTGGTGCGGCGTTTGCGATGATATATTGTGGGAGGACTTCCTTACCTATGGGTAGGGAAATGTAGAACTCGCGCCTATGGTAATTCGTGGTGGTTTAAAAAAATAATATTATCCAGCGACTTTTTGTCATTATATTTTTCTTTTTACCGGGTGATGTTCAGGAAAAAGCTCTTGAGTTATATTATGATCAAATTGCGAAAGCAATGGATTTACGTATTATTTTTGATATTCGAAATAGGTAGGTCTGTAATGAAGAATTTACGGCATATGCTATGTTGATCATACTATTTATAAATCGAATTAAAAAAGACCGTTGAACAGAACGCCGATCCTGAAAGAGCCCCGTTTTCGCAGAATGACCAAATTGGCATTTCGTAATAGACTGAACATAAGGGTGACGACCTATACTAATACTTTATTAGTCATTCCGCTATCTATCCATTTAAATACCGCTTTGTCGAAGAGCGATTCCAACTTTCAAATACTTGTTCGACATTCGTTTGAGATATGGTAGAAATCAACACAATTAAGAACTCTCGAAAAAGAGTCTTTCATAAAATAAAAAGATACCATTGCTTTATGCTGACTCTGTGTCTTCTGCTTTTCAACTATATTATCAACATCGACGTAATTATTAGAAATTTTGTACTTATTTTAAAACGCATCTATAAGTGACTAAAAGATTTTTTGATCTGCTTTGTAGTTTCAAGTAAATCCAAATGAACTCGTGGACTACAAAGAATCTATCAAAATAAAAGAACAAATAAACCGTAAATACTGTGGGTCTCCCGTCTGTAAATTTACGTTCCCGTTTTGGATAAAAGAGCAGGAATCCAGAGCAAGACGGCATCTGACCAGCATTATCATTATGGCACGGCAATTGGATCGAGTATTTGTTCTACCAAATGTTGGCCGTTCAAGACTAGCGGCATGCCACTCTTTTACGTTTGATTTCTACTATTCCCTCGAACTAATTCAGCAGTCTTCACCGAACATTACATTTATCACACAAAATCAATTTTTGCAGTGGAACCAGGAGATGAAGGCAATCGGAGCTGAAACACCCACCGCACACCTTGTTCATTTGTATAGTGAACACATTAAATCACCTAAATTGGCATCCGATTTGGTTGATTTTGAACCATACCAGCGAAAGTTTTGCCTACAGCCGTTTGACAATCTAAGGTACAGCAAAGAAGGGGACCGAGTTATTGAAGACATTATCGTGACACCAAAATACGGATTTCGCTCACAGGAGAATCAAGCTAAAGTTACTCCGGCTATAATTCGCTCTCTTCAATCTGTCAAGTCAGATGTTATGCTAATACGTTGTGACTCTTATTGGATGATCGACGGTCCAAACCCGCCAGAATTTGTATATGCCGATCACTGGGCAGAGCAAGCCAAAGCGGCAGCAGGATTGCTATACCCTTATATTGCAATTCATTGGCGGATGGAAACGGCAAACCCAGATTACCTTTATCAATGCAGTCAAAATCTTGTTAAGTATATTCAGCGTGCAAAAGCACGGACGGGAATAGCCAACGTCTACATTTCTACTGATTATCCAATCGATGGCGGATATCAGCGTTCAGGAACTTTTCATAATATTACTCAAGAACATCATAGAGCTGCAGAATTACTCAAAAACAGTGTAAATCTTTACACGTGGGAGCGCATAAAATCTTCACTGCCTTTCTTTAACGAGACAAAATTTTTAACGCATGGGAAAGATTTGGACGATGCACACGGAACTCTCGCACTTACAGAAAAGTTGATATTGGCGTATGCCAATTGGTTTGTCAGTGGACCGCGAGAATGTTGTAGATTTGAAAGCTCTTATACTTCTCAAGTTGTAGACGAAAGAGCTAAGATTATTGAAAGGCAGCCGATTGATGCTGCTACTAATAGTAAATTGTGGAACTTGAGAGATTTTTGGAATTACGAGTAGAAAGTTACATTATTATTATTCTCAGAAGCTTTTTCATGAACAGTTCTATTAATTAGATATAATTTATTTGTGATAAAAGATTAATATTAATATTACTACTTGTATTTACCCTTTATATTATATTGTTTGTATACAAACTTGAATCTTACTTCCTGGTGCAATAATGTTACACACGGGAAATTATACGTAAGTTGCAAATGACAGAGACTTATTATAGTCAATAATTCTGACACTTTTATCCAACACTTTATGGTCGTACAGCATATTCTGCATATGGAGTTGGCCATTCATCAAATCATCGTCAATTATAACTAACACAGATGGACTAATTTGACTAGCGTGTAAAAGTGTCGGAAGGAATTATTGACTATTTACAGAGACTTTCGACAAGCGCATCGAGCTGTCGAGCAATTAGTCTTGCAACTAAATCAAGCTTTGGGCTGAGGCAGTGTTATACTATGTTGTCCAGTTCCGGATAATGAATACCGGGCTCAATTATTCAAAATCAACGGTTGGGATATTGGACGTTTGAGTATACCCGAAGAACACCCTACCCTGGTTTGTAAAGTTATGCAAGTACGTGAGTATGATAAAAATAGTTTTGTCAACAAGTCACTGAACACTTGGCTAATACAATCGTGAGTAAACATATCAGCGAAAAACGTTAGCCCCATATGGGGTTTAAGCTTGAGGCGGTGCGACATAAATACTAGCAACTTGTCAACATAATCGGGATATTATCCGACATGTTACACAGCCATAATATTTCCTTTTTAAGGGTAACACACATCCGACATGTGGTACAACTATAGGTGATACCGTATTTCTTTGTAAAAGACCCGGGTACTATTGTCGGAAAAATCAATATTATCGCGTAAAATACCCGGGGCATTATAAGCGGATA